CAAAAATGGCCGTTAACCGTTAATGCGTTAATTCGTTACCATTATAACGCACAGCCGTAGTACGGATCTCGGCGTATTCTAGATTACTGTCATAAGTTCGTAACGTTTTCAGTAAAATGAAAAGTTTCCTATCCAGTGACCTAGGACAAAGGAAATAGACCTCTTCATAACACTTGTCATCCTCTACTAGGCAAACTTTGAGATGCTCGACTTTACTAGTACAGAAGAACATTTACAGCACAAAACTAAAGAGTGTCAAACGTTATTTCTACTATTTTCGCCTAGGCAATTCGGACCGCCGCTTGTGTTTAACCTTTTGAGTTGACCTGGTACATATATGTACCAGTATTTTTTTCTTTCTTATAACAGGTGATCCACTGAAGCTGTGCAGTATGCAGTATCGATAGTCCTATAAGAGTACTACGTGGTATGAATTTCAGTGATTCGAAATGCTGCAAAACGAGAGAAATATAATGCGCCAAAATTCCGATTTTTTGACCTGTTGACGATTTTTTTTACTATACATCGAAATAAGGAGGCCTATAGCTGCAGGACGTATATTGTATAGAAACTAATTCCATGCACTGTTCTCGCAACATATTAGAATTCATTGGTTTTAGTGGAATTTAGAGTAGTAACCTTTCAAGGTTGACAATAGTTCCTATCTCGAGACTTCTGAGGATAAGAATTCGTCAACATAGTCAGAAAATGATGCTTCTACTCCCACGATGATGTAACCGGCTGGAATGTGCCGAAAATATGACCAATCAATCATCATTTTTTAAAAATTCGTCGAAATTGCAGCTGATGCTCCCTCCAGTTCAGTAATGCATTGTATTTTACAACTTTTTTGTATATGCTCTTATAATTCACATCTACTGTAAAAAGATTCGTATAATGTCGAATTAAAAAACTATGCAGCTTCAGTTTGAGGTGTTCTTTCATCTTTCAAATTTTAAACCTCGTTTTTCGATTCCAGTATGGCATTCTGCGCTATGTTGCGAAAATTTTTAAAAAATATAGAAATCCTTATCCAAGAAGTGCTTATAAGCTGAACTGTTCATATGACTCGTAGGCCGCTTCCTTTAAGCTCTCGCACGGCTCTGGACTCAAAGGGTTGAACAGAGCGTTCCAGTAACTTTAGAGCACAAGTAACTTCAGTTTCCTTGTTGCGCAAGTGGCGCTAAAACCTATTTCGGGAATTTGGGTTGGTTCTAAGTTTATACGACCCCTATCCAGCATCATTTTTGTACAAAATTTTGTTAGGGTAGACTTGATCTGTTCTCTAGGAAGTAGAGCCTCGCCATCAACACTTAGCCAGGATCACCTCGCCTAAGCTACTGAGCGAAAGTGTAATTTCACACTCAGCCTCCTCAACAAACTCAAATGCTTATCTTCTTCAATCTCGATAGAATTGGTGAGCCTGTGAATGGCAGCTGTTAGGTGAACTCCACTATTGTTCATCAAGCTGCACCCCTAGAGTTCAGTTTTCGGGGAGAGAATTGCGCTATTTGTGGACCGTTCTGTCGGTTCCTGCGCTAGTTTGGCAGAAAAAAAATTTTGTGGATTTTTTTCAAATTTTATAGCCCTTTATAGACGATCATTTGGGAAAAAAACAGTATACATAGTGCGTTTCATAGCTATAGGAACCCCCAGTTTTTCGCTGCAAAATTATCCTAAAGCTCATTTCAAAACTCTGCGAGCTCATGCCACATGAATTTTATAATTTTTTTCACTACTATAAGACATCTGTAAGAGAAAATAATTTTTACAGTAAAAACAGATTCCCCAGTAAGCGTTAAGTAAAGAGGAGAGCATTGCTGAGTCATTTGCAACTTTGCCTCTTATTTTGGTTGGCCGTGGGAACTTTACCGAGCATGTTGCATGAAATCAAGAAACTCTTCAACTAGCCTCTTCTCTCAATTCTTCTTCCTTAGCAGATAAGGTTTCTTTCGGCATAATGCATTTTCTAAAATGCAGCAGAACTTTCTTCTTACATTTTTTTATTCTTATCATTTTTTCATATTTTCTGGGAAAAATTTTCAACTTTTAATGAAAATTGTCCACCAGTTCTTGCGGTGTCAAAGAATTGCTTAGGAAAAATAGCACCTAAGGTCTGATTAAACCCATTTTTTTATTCTGAATTTTTTTCTAGTATGTAGAATTTGTGCAGATTTTGAAACAGCTGCAAGTACAGGATCTACTAGGAAAATTCGTCAGCAGTCCGGAAGAAGATTTAATATGGCAGAAAACTCAAAATTTTGTTCAGCATTAGTAATGGAAATTTTGGAAGCTAGCCCGGAAATTTTCTGAAATTTTAGCGACAAATAATTTATGATTTCAGGGTATAAAACCCGCTAATTGCTCAGGAATTGAATTAAACTTTCTAGTCTAAATTTTAAAATATTTGTAGGAGCTTAAAGGCAGCCTCCACGCTCGGAACGCCTTCTAAGTTCTTGACGGATTCTGAAAGAGGAACTCGAGAAATGGTTTAGGTTCAAATTTCTCGGCTCAAAAGCCATCCCTGATCAAGAAAACCGCTCCAGAAGACTCGTCCGCGATTTCATGGACGAGTTGTCCAACTAGCTTCCCTCGCTAGCTAGAGCGCTATAACCCCTGAATATGAGTAGAGTTGACAGTCTCTTCCATATCGGCGTGTTTGAGGCGGTAGTCGACCCCAATAGAAAGCGTACGACGAAATAGAAAACTCGTCCGCGAGATCGGGGACGAGTTGGTTTTCTCGGTGGGATGAATTTTGTGCCGAGAAATTTGAACCTGAACCATTTCTCGAATTCCTCTTTCAGAATCCGTCCAGAACTCAGAAGGCGTTCCGAGCGTGGATGCTGCCGTTAAGACTTGAAATTCTTCCTGTAAAATGCAGTCATGGAAACCATAGAAAATTTCGGCCATAAAGAACTGCAACTTGGCCAGGAATATTGGAAAATGCTCGTCAAAATGAGTTTTTAACAGACCAAATTTAAAAGAATATCCATAAATTATAAAAAAAAACTTTTCCTGGAAATTGCATATGTATTGAATGTCCCTATAATAGTCAGTCTTTCAAAAGATTTCTCATTCCTTGAAAAAAATCATTCTCTTCGATTCATATAATGGGAGAAATCATGGTATTGGCACAGCTGACGAAGAGGCGGTGCTATTCCACACGCTGACGTCGATAAGAGAACGCCGGAGAGATACGGCGCGCCGAGGGCTCGCGCGGGAAGTCGCGATGCTGGCGTCGAAATCATACTATACAGAATCATTTCTGTAGTGTGTATTTCGCGATCCCAACCAAAAAGTGACACCTGTCCACCGCGATGAACGGGAGACGGGCGAGTTGCGAGCGGGAAGAACGCGGCTTGCCGCGCTGAGGACCGTGACGCGCCCGCAAGGACGCGTCGGCGACTCGCTCTTCTGAGCGGTATAAAAACAAAATGAAAGTACGAAGAGTAGTGTAAGCACCGTTTATAGGAGAGTCTGGGATCACACTTTCTTTTTCGCAGACTATGACTAGTGGGATGGGCGGGGCCAAACTCACTTTGGACTAAAAAGGAAGCCCAGAGCAACTTGAAAAGCAAGGAAGCCTATCGATGCGAAAAGAACAGATCAATTACACTAGTTCTCCATGTTTTAACCTGTTTGAGCACGGCCCGGATCCCCTTGGGTGCCTGGTCCCGCCCACCTCACTAGTCATAGTCCGTGAAAAAGGGAGTACTTTAATCAGCTTTCGGAATTGTACCCCTTCCCCCCGCCCTTCAACAAACAAAGGCATAGACAAAGAATGTCAGCTCTTACCGGACGTGCTTCTGACCAGTTCTTCCAAAGCAAAATTCGCACAGTGAGACCACCTGAATCCCATTTTTAAGAGTTTATGGGCAAAGTCAAACAGTTTTACTGTGAATGATCTACTGAGAAGGAACTTACCTTTCGTTGTGTTCTATAACCTCAGCAGTACTGTTTTTTGCGTATAATGCCTTTTAAGTATGAAATAAGTGTCTTTCCCAATGATCTCTTCAACTGGTGACGCTTAAAATTTCGACTGGAATAAGTTCTTTCATCTTTTGGCTAGTGAAAAGAAAACAATACTCTTTCAAGGAAACACCTCGGTCGTGAAAAGGGCCTCTATTAAATTTGATATCAATTTTGCGCTAAAAAGTCCGAAAATGATATCATTTTAGCAAACTAATTGTTATACTAATAGATCGCAGTACATTCAACAATAAAGCTGGACTAGTACTCAGGGCACAGCACCGTCTGGAGAAAGTCATTTTCAGCTACCAATTCTCCTCAAGAATAGATGCTCGATTACGAAAACTGCACAAGCCCAGTGGCACTCCCACTGTGTTCAAAATACGAGAGTAATGATGGAATTTCAAACGAGTTTCAGCGCAAGTTGCGGTGCGGCGCGGTTTAGCATGGGGCGTGGCGGCTCGAACTTCGCTTGAAAACTTTTTTAAGAAAAGGGAGAAGGTGATTTGCGGAGATTTAATGTGTATAAGATGTAACAGTACCTGAAGATAAGTCCTACAAAGTAGCGTCCTTTGTTTTAGTTTCTCCGTGTTCATTTTTGAAAAAGATGCTCCCAGCTGGGTGCGCGTTGGAAAATTATCGGGTTTTATCCAACAGAACGCTTCTTTTTTCTGATACAAAGGCGGCGAAACTAAAACGAAGATTGTTTTTCTATGGTATAAATTAGGAGAAAAACTGCATCTATATCAAGAATTGTGAGCAGAAATATTAAATGTAAAAGCAGAAAAGTGCTTTTGTATTGGAGCGCGATAACTACTACGGAGCGTTAGCTAAGGCCACAGGCTAAACTGAACTTTGCGCTGTTCCGTCTTTGGTTTTGACACACCCTCTTCTGTACAAAAGGTCCTTGTAATAGGAAAATCGTCAGCAACACTAAAAAAATTTCGGTCGTCTGCGTCAGTCCTGTTGGATTTTTTCGCACACTAGCTGCGCCCTGCTAGTACTTGAGAAACTAGAGAAGGTAATGCTTAATATCTGTTTACTAGCTTGAACTAAATGAGCGGAATACACTGTAACCCTTCTTCTCATGGGCTTAAAATTCCCACTACAATTTTCGTTTTTTATTTATACGGTTTAATAGACCAAATGAATCCTTGGTGGACATATTCTGCTCTTGTAACGGAAGCAGACGTGTTAAGAAGTCGTTTTGGTTTCTTCTGCTGCTTACTAATTGCTTCGCACTAACCGTCAGACAATCGAGCAAATCCTAACCTTCTGAATCAAGGTCATCCTTGTTCTCTGCCTTCTTTGGCTATGCTAGTCACATTTCGGTCGTAAGTCCGGCGGAGTACAACAGAACGGGAGGGTCTACGTTAACTGTTTCCATGTATTAGGGAAATTGCCCAAGCTCACAACCTCATCCTGATAAAAATCTGCAAGCCTTTTTTCCTTAAAAATGGCTGAAAAAGACATTATTTTTGGCGATTTTTACAGATATCACCAGTGTTCCTAATGCACACATCGAAGCGATTTTCTTTTACGCGCCTTAGCTAAAATTGTCTTCTGAAGTTGGAGAAAGGGGGGAGGGAGAAGAACTAAAAAGTGAGGAGAATTTCTGGAGTAGCAGCTAGTATCCACCTATCATAACTCTCTAATCTGCATAGAATGAATGTGACATCCTCATTCACATGCCAAAAACCCTAGTATAGAAATTTCGTAGTGATTCCGAAATCTCTATCAGCATATAGTCTAGCGTATACCTACCCATGGTAAGCTAAAAATGAGTAAAGTTAAAGATGGATGCAATTTTCGAGTTTTCGAGTCGTCATTATTAGATAAGGCTTCAAAGTTTTCGAACTTTCTTTCAAATTTTAGGCTCTATAAAAGCCGATTTGTGCTCCACGCATAGTCCCTACCTAGTGTTTTGCTAAAGTTTTATACTGCTTAACTACAGATGTGTAAGCCTGAAAATATTTAGGTAGACTATCTGCGGCAGTTTGGCTACCTGCCAGACGGAGGAGCCGAATCGCAAGTCAGCAGCGAAGCGGTAGAGTCAGCCTTGAGACGGTTCCAGCGGATGTTTGGCCTACCTCAGACGGGTAAAATGGACGCGGCAACGGTAGATCTGATGTCGAAACCCCGATGTGGAGTTAAGGATATTCAGCGATCGTAAGTTGTTCCTTTTGTTGGAAATTCTAGAAAGGCTGCTCTAAGTGAAGATATTCAGGTCACGAATGAAACGATCCTTGCCGCATCCTCGGTGGAAATCCAACAAGTTTACGTTTCTGTAAGTATTATATAGAAAACTGAGTAAGAGTAATTGAGGTCTCAGGTTCCACATCTGAGAGATGGTTGAATAACGTAGCAGGAACGAATTTTAAGAAGATTTTTTAAGCATTGATAAATTACACCTCGAGCATTAGATCTCCACCGACAATGATGCGGTTTTTCTGAAATTTCAAACATATTTTGCGACTCTCGATCGGATATTTTGCCTAACCCTATGCGCAGTAATACCAGTGTTTTTATGGCTGCATGTTAAACAGATAAATTATTTTACAGTACCTGAAAATATTATGACCAATAGCTTGTCCCAGGTTTCTTCTAACAGCTTTGCCAGAACATTAGCAATGTGCAAAATCTCTCCACAAAGTATAACACAAGACTCTTGAAACATTCTTTTTTGTAAACTGCGAAAATTGAACGGAAAATCACTGAAAAAGAAAGGCTTAAATCGTAAGGTAATTTAAAGGAATTTCAGTGCTGAATAGATGAACCTCCCAGAGAAGATATCTGGGGCAGGGATCTAAGTACTTCTTGAACACATGAATCCATTTCTGCTCAAGTGGAAATTATTTATAAGCTGCAGAAGAAAAGCAATATTGAAGAAAATGCTTGCAAAACTATTTGAAAAATTCCATATCAGAACGTGATCTTTTAGAAGCCAAACTCGAAAAGAAGATCGATAAACCACTTTACATATTATTGTAATAGTATTAATGTATGCTACTATAGTTACTACATATTTTGCCATACTACAGAGTGCGGTACAAATTCGCTGAGTTTGCTGACAGTTTTTATTTGACTAGTTTTCCCAAAAGAAATCACTATACGACGTCATTTTGGTGTACTTCTACCGCAACAAAATTCCGATTTTTCCGAACCACACTACTCACTTACTGATCGTCGTAAGCAAAAGAAAGCATAAAATTTGTAAAATCCGCCGAATTGGAGCGCTGGCAAAATAAGATGGTGCACCGTCCACGGTCGGCTCGCATATCGCTATCGTTTCTTCTCTCCATTATCCTTGCTCTGTGCCTGCAACCGCTACGGCTATCCTGAGGGAAATAAAATTAAATTCATTAAATTAGGACGTTCTTTAGGCTAAAGCAGTTGTGTTTTCGCAAAAGAAGGTTGATCCAACAATGCCTTTTAGAAAAGACACTAAAAACGATTAATAACAAAAAAATTGTAGCGACTTGGTTCGAGACATTTTAAGCCTGGAGTAAAGTTAAGAAGAAACCCTGTTTCAACTAGCCAATTTAGACATTTCACTCGTAGATGGGCTCGTCGGCGTTGCTCTCAAACCATGTATAGGGATTTACCTGACAACCGCGCGTCTACCGCGATTTGTGTTACTGCAGAAGGCCCGACTAGCCTTACGCGACAACTTTGGCGACCACTTCACCCATGCATTTTCTTTGTTTTTTGCGTATTTTTGTTTGTTCTTCCTCGTTTTTCTTTTGCTTTTAGTTACTTTTACGTTACATTACAGCGATATTGTACTGTAGCTGCTACAACAGTTTCGTAGAATAGTTTTTGAAGACTTTCTTCAGATGTTGGAATTACTCGCTTCTCTAACG